TTAATGAAATAGAAAATTGTCAAATCTTTAAACAAATAAAAAATTTTCACCTTTTTTTTAACATAAGTAAAGTCAAATAAGAAAAGAGTACTGATGAGATAATTTATGAAAAAACCCGAGTGATGAGAGAGAGAATTTGGGTGGTATTGAAGAGAGAGAGAGAGATGAACATGATCACATAAGGAAAAAAAGAAAAGAAAAAAGAAAAAGGTTATCAAACTTAATTAAAAAGAAAAGAGAAAGAAGAAAAATAAAGCATTAATTCGACCTTTAATTCATGAGAGAGGAAGTGAGAGTTTGAGACAAGAGAAGAAAGAACAAGAATAATCGAGGAAAAAGGAGTGTAAAGAAAGAAAGACACATTAGATACTTGAGATGATATTGAATGATTTTCTGGATAAATAATTGAACAAACAAATTAGATAAAAGATCTGAGTTTCTATATGTTTGTTTCTTGTATTCGTCTCTGATTCTGAATCATGATTCATAGTTCTCTACAGTATTTTTCTATCACAAAAAACACACGTAAAGCGAAAATGATTCTAAATTATGGTTCTAAATCTATGAACCAAACGTATCATTTAAAAAACTTCTTTGTATAGTTTTCTATCCTACCGACAAGTATACACCTTCCCAAAATTTGCTGATTTCTTTCCCATAAATTTTCCGTCTCCAAAATTTGCCAGGTTTCCCGTGCAAACTTTTTTCATGATGAAAATTTTAATAGCTGTCTTGAAAAATAAAAAAATTATCAAATCTTTAAACAAATAAAAAGGTGTTACATTTGGGGCATGCAGAAAAAGAAGAGTGATGAAAGAGTGAAATATGGGCCATGCAGAAAAGGAAGAGTGATGAAAGAGAGAAATGGTCATCACGTAAGCAAAAAAAGAGAGAGATGATCAAAGCATAAAAGGGAAAGAGAGAATGCTTTTAGTTCTATGAGAGAGAACGGAGGTACTGGACTGGAGAAGAAAGGCACAACACTTTGAGAAAAGACTCTGTGGAGGAATTAATTCAATATAAACGTTTAAACTAAAGAAGAATATATATAAGAGGTATGTTCTTCTATTAGTTTAAACGTTTATATTGCAATAATATGTTAGAGAGATTGTAATAGGCATGGATTAAAATCACAAGTTATTTGAGTGTTAAAACATAAAAAATTAGTGTTAAAGGGACTTTAAAAGCGTTGCAGTGGGTTTATAAACGCTGCAGCGGAAAAACTGCACAAAACTGTGCAATTTGGTTCGGCCTATATAAACCAAAATATTTCGGCTGTAGCCAAAATGTTTTGGCTGCAGCTAAAATATTAGCTGAACCAAATTGCACAGTTTTGTGCAGTTCGTCCGCTACAACGTTTATAAACCCGCTGCAACACTTTTGAAGTCCCTTTAACACGAGTTTTTCATGTTTTAACACTCAAACAACTTGTGATCTTGAACAAGACATATTACAATCACTAACAAACTTTGAGAAGTGAGGGCAAATTACCTTCAAGATACAACAAACCCTTAAATACAATATCTAGCAATAATATTGCCGAAATATTGGCCAAACCAAACTACACAAATTTGTACAATTTGTCCGCTGTAGTGTTTATAAACCCGTTGCAGCGCTTTTAAAGTCCCATTAATATGTGTTTTTCATGTTTTAACACTCAAACAGCTTGTGATCTTAATCAAGACATATTACAATCTCTCTAACATAATAGATAATTTACATATCAATGAATGATTTTTTAAACAGAGGATTGAATGGACAAATTGTATCGAGCATCTGGATTCATAACGATAGAGATCATCGTTATGCACCTAATTAATTTAACACATCATTTAAACCAAATAAATTGTGGTGCATTAAATCATGAGACTATCAAAATTAAGGTACAAATTAACAACAGAAAATTAATGTATAAATGAAAACAAATGAATATTATTTAAGTACTTTTTATGACCGGAAGTACCACTATTTGTAAGACTTCGACAATTACAACAGATAGTTGTAGTTAACATTTACCATCATCCCTTCCATTATCTCATTCTCCCCACGTAAACATTTTCTATTTTTAAACATTTACTTACCTTAACAACCGAAAGAGAGAGATGCAACTGAAGAGGACGAAAGAGTTTTAACTTTGAATTGTTTCTCAGACTAAAAAAGAAAAGGCTTTTAAGTTAATCCTTTAATAGAAAGGCTTTAAATTGTGGAACCTTCTCTGGTACGTCAACATACCGGTGAGTTAAATATTTTGTCCGTTGGATCTACATAAAATCACGTAAAAGTAAAAAAATATGCATATCTAACGGTTAAAAAAACCTGACATACTGGTAGGCCAGGCGTACTAAAGAATCTCCCTTAAATTGTAGAAAAAATGGAGTCTTTACGGTAGAACAAGTAAGGGGGTCTTTAAGGCTTTAGGGAGTCTTTGCTCCACCTGTGAGAATTGTGTATTTATTGTTGGATTAATATTTACAGTAGGAGTAATTTTGTGTGGCGCACTGTAAATTTTTAATATGGACCTGCATAGATATAACCATTAAAATTAACTATTCTTATCAATAGAGCAGAATAGTATGATTGTTGTGAAAAATCGTAACGCAAGTATACGCTATCGCAATCAAGTAATATAATAGTGAATAAGAATATCGTCCCACGAGGATTGTTGTTCACTAATTACTGAAATTATATTAACCCTAATTTTATTTGAATAATTGAAAAGTGAGTTTATAAAATTAAGTAAAGTAAAACTAAAATGATTAAATAAATCAAACAACGCTAAATTATGGAATAAAATTCAATAGATTAAAACTCTAGGGTTTCCGATTTCACCAAAATTAATCCTGTTCAAATTCCCATAATTCAAGAAAATTAACATTCAATCCTATACTGACAGCAATTTCTCTAAAACAATTATTATTCTTTCTCAAGTACCGATAATATTAATCCAACAAGCAAAATCTACATCTCTGTCAGACTTCTAAACCTGTTGAAAATTATTAAGTGCAAGAAATTCAAAAGAACTACACAAGCATCATAGATATCTCTATCCTATGAACAACTCATGGTATTTCAATTAAGAGCTTAGTTAATTATCACCTCTCGGTCTCAAATTAAATACAAAATCATGTAATAGTTGGCCAAACAATCACAAGCATTAAGAATAAATTGAAATACTCAGCATATATGGATTAAACATCAATTACTTAAAAAATAAGATTGAGAATTTGAACATTCATAATCCAGCTACATCGTAGCCCTAGAAAAAAGAATTAGTTCATCTCTAAACAAAATAAATTCCTAAACAAAGTCTTAATCATTGGAAAGGAAAGAAAAGAACTAGTTTGGAGTTGAATTGAAGCGTCTCCGTCTCCGGATTTGAGCCGTTCTTCTTCTCCGTAGCCAATTCTCCTTTTCTTCTCTTGAATCTTCTCTCAAAGCCAGCCGTCACTCCACAGTCCAAAAGTCCCTTCTAATTGCCCTAGAATAATCTATTTGTATGTTTCGGAGCATTAGGGTCAAAATTGGTAAGTTTTCTCGCGATTGGCCTTCAAAACGCGTATTTTTTGGCGTCGTAGCGCCGCGGTGCTAAGTTTCTAGCACTGCGGCGTTGTTGTGTAAAACCCTGGGCGCTGTAATGGCCGCCTAAGGGTTGCCCATTCTGCCCAGTGCACTGATTCCGTCAGATTTCAGCGCCGCGGCGCTACAAACTGGCGCCTAAGCGCCACCAGTTCTGCCCAATACACTAATTCCGTAAAATTCAGCGCCAAGGCGCTACAGATTGGTGCCTAAGCGCTATGATTGCTGTCTTTTTCCACCGAAATTTGTCCAAAACCTTCCAAATCATAGACTTTCACCTATCCTTCAAACAAAGAACGAAAACACACAAAAAAACTAACAAAAACCTCGAAACCAACTAGATATTAAGTGTAAAACGATACTAAATGAGCGAGTAAAACTCACTCATCAATGATCCACAGTAAAAATTCCTCTTTATTTTTAGTCTTCATGTAACAAGGAGATAGTGCATTAAGTACTGAATAAAGCCTGTTTGCAGTCGATAAGTGATGATGAGTGTTGTAGCATTATAGGCATGTTACTAGAGTTTTAATAGTAATTTGAAGAGAGATTGTAGAAGCTAGAAATGGATATGACACTAAAGAAAACTAGTGTTGACAGAAATTCAATTTATGTTTACTCTATTAATTTTATTTTAAATGATGTGGCGTATTTTTATTGGTTGGAAACAATTTACGATACGAATTTTGAATAAAGGATCCAATTTCTTGTTAATCCATGCGGCGTATGCATAACTATCTATGCCGTAACTGATTAAATGTAACAAGTATGGCAAAGTCCCAATGGATTAAAATAACATGAAGATAGTACATAGAATATATATTAGTAATTAATTTAAAAAACATATATTAGTTCGTAAAATGAAATATTTAATTCGCCTAATTAGAAGAGGACGTTAGATACAATATTTTGGAAAAATAAATACTTTCATAAATTAATAAATTAATAAATTATTGATTAATTAATATTTGCAACCTTTCATGCTCTAGGTATTATATATACACGATTAATTTTGACAAATATTCTTTAAAAGTGCATGAGTCAAGATTTTTACCCTTTACATTTGATTCAAATTTTTTTTAATTAAATAATTATACTAACAAAAGGGTATATTAATCAAAAGTAAGAGGTAAATGTTTAAACTCATGTATTCTTAAAGTTAAATTTTCCATTTTTTCTATATATAGACTAATTAGGTTTATTTTCTTATCAATTTTAATTTTTTTCTCAAAAGAATCAGATCCAGGACCAAGTTCGAAAGATGTGTGTTACCTAACACACAGTATTTCTACACGAGGCAGACACAAATTAGTACTTGCAAGCCCTACAACTTTCTTAATATTAAAGGTTCTTATGGTAATTAAAAAAGCTTCCAACTATTATATATATCCAACAAATTCAGTCCATTTGCTCATCAAGTTTGCAGAACAAAAGAAAACAAGAAAAAGAAAAACGATATGCTTAGTATGGCAATAACTTCTCAACGTCTCTTCTTCTTGACCATTTTTCTCTGTCTTCTCCCTATCTCCTTTCCAAACCCGTTATTAGATGATCACGACCGTCCAATGACATTCATTGTCCACATGGCAAAATCACAAAGGCCATCTGTCTTCCCCCCCCCCCGCCAATGGTACACCTCCATCATCGAATCCCTTCCTCCTTCCCGTCACCCTTCAAAGATCCTTTACGCCTATGAGAAAGTTGCTAATGGCTTCGCTGCTAGCCTTAATCTTTCCCAAGCTGAAAAGCTTAAGAACATTCATGGCATTCTTTCTGTTATGCCTGACGAATCCCACCAACTCCAAATCACGCACACATACAAATTTTTAGGACTCCCCACTAGGCCTGGAATTTGGCCCTACTCCAACTACGGCGAAGACGTCATCATCGGAGTTCTCGACACCGGAATTTGGCCACAACACCGGAGTTTCTCGGACAAAGGATTGTCCCCAGTTCCAAAAACATGGAAAGGCAAATGTGAGACGTGGGATGACTTTCTAGCTTCGTTTTGTAATCGGAAACTCATCGGTGCAAGAGCGTTCCTCGCGGGGTATCACATGTCTAATTTAGGCGGATCCGGATTGAATCAATCGGCAGAAACAAACTCCCCTAGAGACACAGATGGCCATGGGACACACGTAGCTTCAACAGCAGCAGGAGCTGTAGCGTCAAACGCAAGCTTTTTCGGGTACGCCAAAGGGGTGGCCATAGGCGTTGCTCCGAAAGCCCGTATTGCCGTGTACAAAGTCTGCTTAACTAGTACATGTAAGCAATCTGACATGTTGGCTGGCATGGACCAAGCAGTCTCCGACGGGGTTCATATAATATCCATGTCCATCTCTGGCGGAACTGATCCGTACTATAAGGATATCATGGCCATTGCAAGCTTTGGAGCTATGCGACACGGCGTTCTTCTCTCTCTGGCTGCCGGAAACGACGGACCTGATCCATTTACAGTCAACCATCTCCCCCCTTGGGTACTAACCGTCGGCGCTTCCAGCGTCGACAGAGAATTTAGCGCCGACGTTGCTCTTGGTGATGGTAGAACTTTCCTCGGTTCCTCCCTCTATTATGGACCCCATTTTCCCTTCTACAAACAATATAAACTGGTCTACGCTGGGGATTTTGGGAACAAGTTTTGTTCCCCTGGCGACTTCACCAATCAAAACCAACTCGCCGGCAAAATCGTTGTGTGTGACTACGGGGGCGAAACGAGTAGTCTCGACAAGGGATTCGCAGTGAAAGATGTTAATGGTCGTGGAACAATAATAGCGAATAATGCACAAGTTGGGGAAGAGCTTAGTGCTGAGCCACATGTTACGCCAACAACTCAAGTTGGTATAAAGGATGGGAGAAAAATAAAAAGATACATCAAGTCGAGCCGAAATCCAACTGCAAACATTCTCTTCCATGGAACAGTGATTGGGACTTCACCGCCTGCTCCAAGAGTTGCGGCGTTTTCGAATCGCGGTCCAAACCCTCTGACACCGCAGATTCTCAAACCAGACGTCATAGCTCCAGGTCTCAACATCTTAGCTGCTTGGACTCAAGTCGTTGGTCCATCGGGCGAAGGTGATACTAGACAAGTTGAGTTCAACATAATATCAGGCACTTCAATGGCTGCTCCACATGTTAGTGGGATTGCCGCTTTGCTTAGAAATGCTTACCCTGATTGGTCACCTGCTGCTATAAAATCTGCCCTCATGACAACAGCTTACGATTTGGATAATTCTGGACAAAGCATCAAAGATCTCGCGACGGGCAAGAAGTCGACGCCTTTTGTTCATGGATCAGGTCATGTGGACCCCAACAGAGCTCTCAATCCGGGTTTGATATATGACATGGGTGTGAGTGACTACGTCGGATTCCTCTGCTCCATTGGTTATGATTCCGAGCAAATTAGTGTATTTTTTAGAAAACTAGTACGCTCAGACATATGTGAGAAAACATATGATCATCTTGGGGCTAGAGTTACACCGGGAGATCTAAACCTTCCATCGTTTTCGGTGGTTTTCGATAATGAAGGGGAGACAGTCAAGTATAGGAGAACTGTTACGAACGTGGGGAGCAATGTTGATGCAGTGTATGTGGTGAGTGGTGAAGCACCAGCAGGATTTAGTTGGAGTGCTACTGCCACTGACTCTGTAGCTTCCATATGATGAATTTATTATATGTCTTTGGCCATACAAACCTGATTATACGTTTGATTGGCCTTAAAAATAAAGATGGAGTAGTATTTGAGCTACCACTCCAATGTTGAGATGTATATATCATGTGCTTCTAAATAATGTTTCATATCAACGAAGTTCTGGGGTTTATCTAACGACTTATTTTGTGGAGTTATTCTTAGCAGTGGAATTAGGATTGAATTATTGAAAGTATTGCTGTTGGTAATTTGTTTATCTAAACTCGTTTTTGGTTTGTTCCTTACCGTGTTGTACTTGTTCTTCTACTTATTTAATTTTGAGCTTTTTAGATATATAACAAAAATTTTATCAAGCAATAATTTAGAACATTTTACAAATAGCAAAATTAAAATTATTAAAATAATTGCTATGTCATTTTTTTAATAAAAGACATATTGAATATCGTTATAATAATTATTATGCTATTCGATTGGTCGTTGTTTGATGTCCTTTATTTCAAAAATATGATATAAAGGTACCTTTCATTATATCTTTCAGAATACACGAGGGTGCTTATATAACATGTACAGGAAAAATCTATTCTAGGAATGTAATAACTACTATGTACTATTCTAGGCTAGAATCAATGATATTACATAATCAGTGGGAATTAGAAAATAAGAAAAGAATCCCTATAATCTCTCCATGAGATCCTCTGTCAACAACTCACGCCAACACTCCCCCTCAAATTGGTGCATAGATGTCTTGAATGCCCAACTTGTCCAGTGCGTTATAAAATACCCTGCTTGAGACAACTTTTGTAAGTATATCTGCTAACTGATCTTCTGATTTTACAAATGGAAGTTGAACTATCTTGGCTTCAAGTTTTTCCTTGATGAAATGTCGGTCCACTTCAACATGTTTTGTTCGATCATGTTGAATTGGATTTAGAGCAATCTCTATAGCAGCTTCATTATCACAAAATAGGTTCATTGCAGAAGTAGACGAATAGCCAATTTCTTCCAGCAACCGCTTCAGCCAAAGAAGTTTGCAAAGTCCTTTAGCCATGCCTCTAAACTCAGCCTCTGCACTAGACAATGCAACTACCTTTTGTTTCTTGCTCTTCCAAGTGACTAGATTGCCTCCCACAAAGGTGAAATATCCTGAAGTAGACTTCCTATCAATGATACTTCCGGCCCAATCAGCATCTGTGTAACCATCAACATTTAAATGATTGTTTTTCTTGAACATGAGTCCTCTTCCTGGAGAAGATTTCAAATACCGTAAAATCCGAAGGACTGCATTCATGTGATCCTCACTAGGATTATGCATGAATTGACTCACCAAACTTACATGATAGGCAATATCTGGTCGTGTATGGGATAAGTAGATAAGTTTTCCCACAGGGCATTGATACCTTTCTTTGTTTGTGGGTATTTGGCTCGAGTGTTCTCCCAATCCATGATTCTGAACCACTAGCGTGTCTGCAGGCTTACAATCAAGCATTCCTGTGTCGGCTAGCAAATCAAGTACATATTTCCTTTGTGATAGAAATATGCCTTGACTTGACCGAGCTACTTCGATATCCAAAAAATATTTTAACGCCCCGAGATTCTTCATTTCAAATTCGGTGGCTAGATACTTCTGCAAGCTAGAAATTTCTTCCTTTTCATTCCCTGTAATTATCATATCATCAACATAAATTATTAGAGGTGTTACCATCCCTCGTCGATGCTTCAAGAACAGAGTATGATCAGAATTGCTCTGTTTGAATCCGTGCTTTGTCATAGCCGAGCTAAATCGTCCAAACCACGCCCTAGGTGCTTGCTTCAATCCATATAGTGTCTTCCGCAGTTTGCATACGACCCCAGTTTGTGATGAGGTAGTAAAGCCAGGCGGAATGTCCATGTACACTTCTTCTGCAAGATTCCCATGAAGAAATGCATTTTTTACATCGAACTGATGTAACGGCCAATCCAAGTTTGTAGCGAGAGACAACAATACTCTGACAGTATTCAACTTTGCTACTGGTGAAAACGTCTCCTGATAGTCTATACCATATGTTTGGGTATAGCCTTTCGCTACAAGTCTCGTCTTGTATCTCTCTATTGACCCGTCTACCTTGTGTTTAATGGAGAACACCCATCTATATCCCACAGTTTTCTTCCTTTTGGGTAGTAGCATGAGCTCCCACGTATCATTCTTCTGCAATGCTATCATCTCTTCAGTTATTGCTTGGGTCCATTTTGTGTCATTCAAGGCCTCTTGTACGGTACTTGGAACATGATCAGAAGATAGCTTATGCACAAAGGCTTTGAGAGATTGTGATAATTTCTGGGTTGAGACTGCTGGTTCCCGAATCGAATTCGGATGCGGAAGCGTGGGGGAGGCGGATCGTGTATAACAAAAATTTTCACAAAACTTTTGAGATACTCTATAGATTATATTAATTTATGCACGAATAAATTAATCGCATTAATTTACATTAAGAATTCAATCCGGAAAAATACCTGGAAGCTGACTCGGATGATAACTTGAATTCTTTGACCATGAACAGTCCTTGCTCCAATCTTTGTGTTTAGAATACCAAAGTCTTCCACGTCAATTCCTTGATTCCACGAAGATGTGTGTGTGGGCACATGTGAGACAAAAACAGGTTTCTTAAACACTCAAATTTCCACAAACACCAACGCATGCATGATGTGGAATTTTTGGAGAAAAAATATTTGCTCTCTTTTTTCCTTGAGTAAATTTGGCCACCAATCTAATTAGGGCAGAAAAATTGCTTAAAAAATTATTTTCACAATTTTCTATCATTCTCATATTTAAAGAGTAGAAGTCAAACTTCAAAACAGAATCAAATCCATATCTCCAATTTTGAATTTCGAACAGAAAATCCCTTCCCCTTATCTCTAATGTGGCCGGCCACCCTTAGGGTTTCCTAACCCTGTGTGTGTGGCGCCAATCCAGATAGGGAAGGAAGAGAAAAATCATCCTTTATCCTGTAGTCCAATTTTGACTCAAATTCAAATTCTAATTTAAGTCAAACTTAAATTAATTTGAATTCTAAATTGAACAACTTATCAAATAAGTTTAAATGGATAAATCTAGATGTGTTCAAATTCAAATTTAAAAAATCACATTATTTAAATAATAATTAATTCTCAATCAATAATTTTCGAGTATTTAATTTTAGAATTCCGTAATTCTAAAATT